TGTGACCTCCAAATCTAAACATGGTGACTGTTCGTCCAGGGCCCAACCATGACCTTTGACATTGTCTTTACTTAAGCCAGGATGTGACCCTTGACGCAGAGGGACCCCAATATGCTGCTTTCGTCGAACAGGGTCTGAATCGGGTAAAGGCCCTTTTAGAAGGGTGGGACGTGGTTTATCTATGCGGTAATTAAGGCAAAATCAAATATTGACAGGCAAAGGTCAAATCTCTCTAAACCGAGCATTGTGGAAAAGAAAGAACTGCTACGTACAGAAACACAAGAGTTGTTTGCCATGCTGAATAATATTAGGGGTTTGAACAATAAACACGGGAGGCAGGTACGCAGGGGCGTATTGTCTACTGAACCGAAAAAAAGGGGTTGGCATTAATCCCCGCTTGCGATTAGCTGCAAAATTCCTTTCAATGAAGATATTAAAACGAAGGAAATTTGTGATGAATTATGCAAGTGGATTGAAGAAAGGGTTAAGCCAGAAGCTCTCTGTAGCCTGATGTAGAAAAAGATTAGGGTGGTCTGGACTAAGTTCAGATCAGTTGCCAGTCTCCTGCATAACCACAAACACATGGCAAATATAGAAGGTACATGTGCATGTGATGACTAGGACCTGCCCCGTGAAAACGGGCACGTCCGGGTAAGATTGAATGAGATTCGATATATAAATCCTTTCTTGCATAACTCAAGAAATGTGCCTATTCCTAGCTGGATATGTAGTTTGAAAGATATCGAGGATGCATGCAATACTGTTTTACAACCTCTGAGAAATTCTGGATTCATTCAAAAATGGGATGTAATGAAATTAATCCCCTTAAAATTCGAACTGGCTCTATCTCGAACAAGGAAGGAAAGGTGTTGGTTGAGTATGTGCAAGGAGTAAAAGTCTCCTTGAAAGGGCTTGTTCTTTCACCCCTAGATCGAAACCCAGGGAAAACGCTTGTTGAATGCACTTGGCATTACGGCTAGGAAATGAAGGCGACTTTTGACCAAAATGCTGACTATCAGATTATCAAAAAAAGCGAAACAGAAATTCTCAGAAATATGAAGAAGGAATTCAAAAGAAGGAAGTTCCAGAGAATTGCGATCTGGAACCAAGACTGGTTTTTCAACACCCCTTCATTATGAGTTCTTACTCATAGTGAAGGGGTGTTGAAAAACCCGTCTTAAGGACGTGAACAAAAAGAGACCTTTTGTCCCTTGTACCTTAGTCCCATGAGATCAGCCATAACGATACTAACTCAAGTTCTCAATCTGTTGATTGAAAAAATGAAGAATGTTCACTTCAACATGAAGGCAACAAAGGATTTGAAGCCAGAGCTTTGGAGAGTTAATTAAAATGTCGAAAGTATTGGGAGAGTTGATAAAAAAGTCGAAAGCATTTGGAGAGATTCCGGGATTCTTATCTGGACGTACGATATTAAAGAAATGTTTACAATGATTCCCCACGATGAAAACAGGCATGCAGTGCAATGGATTATGAGCGAATTTCGCAATCGTGGGATTTACTGGGCAAGGGTAAAAATCAGAGGGAAAAGGGTGTGAGGAACGAGCCCTCACGGGGCCCCTGTAAGACATACACATGTTCTGGGCAGAGGACCCCAGCAAACCGAGTGCCCGCCCTAAGTGAAGGCGGGGCTGAATATTCCTCAGAGGCCAAATTTTGACATTTTCATATGTGGGTATTCAGGCTGTGGCAGCCTGCCAGTTGGTTGAGTGGACGCGTGAGCCTCACCAAGCTGCGTCATATAGTTGGCCCAGGCCTTGGCAGTTGCACCTGGGCACATACACAATGCAGGGCCGACACATCACAAAGTGGCGACAGGCCTACACAAAAGCAGCTCTGTCGACATACATACCCCGGGTCCTGTGCAAATGCAGGAAACGGCCCAAGTCTGGAGACTCAGGCCGTGCCCAACTGTAAAGGGCCCAGGCCCTCAACTGTAACACGGGCCCTGGGCGCCGGTACTGCGACCCAACCGGAAGCTACTGGAAGCTTCCAGCCAGGCCACATGCAGCCAAGCAGAGGCTTCCACTTCCATATAGGAAGGAGGGCAGTCAGTGTCTGGTATTCTGGCCCATGCGGGCATTGCGGTCACGCTGCTGCGTTAGAGGCTGCGTGCTGCGCTGAGGCCAGAGCGCGTGTGTGGTGAAGTGGGGCGCCGCTGGGCAGCGGAGCACAAGCAGCCATAGTCGGGCTGCAGGGCACCAGGGCTTGGGCGGGCGATCGGTGGTCTTTTGGAAGGAGCGAGACTGGGTGGACAGGGTCTGATGAGGGGAAGTGAGATACGTACCTGGTACATGGAAGAGGTCAGCTATGGTGTTGACGTCATGTACACTGGTCTTTGAGAGTCGAAGTGAGCCTGTTGCGAGAATTCTGATGTAGGTAGGATAGTAGTCAGGTAGTGTAGGCTGGGTGCTGGGCGCCAGACAGAGAGGAGCGACTTTGGATACTGTGTTGGTGTGGCCTGAGGGCATGAACATTTTCTCATTGCTTCATTCTGTTGCTCTTATTTGGATGGGATCACGGTGCATTTGTGCTCTCTGCTTGTACACGACTACCTGGACATCTGTGTGATTTCGCAACTTGGTTTTCTCTATATTGTTCCCAGTCATATTCCTTGCAGGTGAAATTTAATAAAGCCTCAGGAGAAGGGGGTTGGAAATCAGTCCGACTATCGGACCTGGAGAAGTTGGTAAGTTTCCTCCTGGATAATGTATTTTTTTAATCTATGGGAGAATATATTGAAGCAGGACACTGGAATCCCAATGGGAGGACACGTCAGCCCCACGCTAGCATGCCTTGTCTGCATGTATGCGGGCACCAGATTCGTGAAATCATTGGGACAGGAAATGAACCTCATTTGTGGAAAGCGATTCATCGATGGTTTATTACTTGTCACATGGTACAAGAAAGGAGAAAAAAAACTTGCAAAAGATAGTCTGGACAAAATTTCAAATTGTTATCACGCGAAACTCAGGTTGCAGAGGACTGAAGGAAGCAATGTTAGAGATTTTTTGGAAACAAGTGCAGTTGTGACAAATGAACCAAGTAGAATCCTTTGCACGCACAGACGCAAGAATTTCAAAATAATCTGGAGCAGCAAAGGAAGCAAGATTTTCACTAACAGACAATTTTGCAAGGAAAATGAGCTACAGCGAGATGACAATATCCAGAATGCACAATCACATTGAAAGCCAGATAGTATCTCAGTGTCCAGAAAGCGACATTGCACCAATATAAGACCAATTGAGATTCGTAACACTGAAAACCAATGTCGATGAGAGTCCAGTCCCTTATCCCTACTTGGCGCTCGGCGCGCAGCCTACTTCCTACACAGCTACTGTCTGCCTACCAATTGACAATGCAACTATTGACGTCAGCAGCCAACGACGCACTTGAAGATGTCGCCCAATGCAGACCATCGCCAATACCAGGTTTGTGCCCTCACATCATCATCATCATCATCCTTCTCTCTCCCCTGACTTACACCCACGTCTTCCCTCTCTACGCCCGAAGACCACCTGTGCGCCTCACTGTAGTCCAAGCCCCAGCCAGCTATGGAGGCTGGGCTATGGCGCTGCTGAGGGCAGCGCCCTGCTTCCTGCACGACCACACGCGCGCAGCACCTTGCCCTTAGCGCTCAGCAGCCCGCAAGCAATTGCTCCAGCAGCGCTGCCGCATGGCAAGTGCCTGAATGAGAGCCCAGGCAGCAAGCTCTTTCCTATATGGAAAGAGCCCAGAAATGGTCCAATTTTTTTTTTGAGAAATTTGTAAAAAAAAAAAAAAAAGCGAAGTACCTGCGAAGTGCTTCTCTGAGCGCTGTCTGTACTCAATCTGCCTCCTAGTATGTCATGGGACCATTTGTCGATTTTGGGGTCCATCCTTGCGCAGGGGCCATGCTAATCTTCTCTGTATTATTCCAATTTTAACAGATGTCAATTCACGTTCTGTTCCTGTTCAGCCGAGGGCCGGTAGAGCAACGGCGGATGAACAGCACATTTCGGGGCCACAGGATGTCTGTGGGGAGCCCAGACTTTTCAATCGTGCAGAGGACTCTACCGGTACTGTCTTGAGTTTTCCAATGGCCGGTGCCATTCACTTTTAGGCTTCGGCAAAATGCATCGTGTGGTGCATCAATTTAGCTGTGGATGGACTGGTGGTTTAACCGCAGTGACACTGTTGGTGAAGGGCATGTCCATTTTTCATCGAGGATTCTACCGCTGTATTGTTTTGCAGGAAATCTAATGTTTGTTATTTGCTTTTTTTTGTCTTTTTTTTAATGTTTGTTATTTGCTCCTTTCCAGTGTTATTAGTTTTCTGCTCTCCTGTCGC